TGTGGGGGCGATATGCTGACTCTGTAAACCGCTTAGAGAGGGCTGAAAGCCCTATGAAGCGGTATTTAAGTCTAACTGCTATTGCTATTGCTAATTGTGTTATGAACAAAAAAACAAGCAGAGGTTCAGCCAGTTCTGACAGGTTCTGGAGAACCAGTAGTGGACATCTTGGGTAGTTCAGAGAACTAGCAAATAGGCTGGCTCCACCCCCCACACCCCGCTGCCTCCCGGCTGACCTTCTTTCGTTGCCCTGAACAGGAGAACGGAGCTGAAAAGAAAGTTAGCGAGGTGAGGAGGGAATGGGGATTTTGCAGTAACCTTCCCCTGTCACGCCCAGAATGCCAAGCCGCGCCCACAAAGCCACGCCCACAGAACTAGTAGTAACTTTTTTTTGAATCCCATCCCTGAAAACAAGGCAATAGGATGGACAGCGGTTGGACATATTAGCAAAAGTTTTTCAAACTGTCTTTGACCCTTTCTAAAGGCTTCCTAGAAGTGTCAGGCGTCAATCAGTTCATGAAATGTTTGTAGTGATGTTGCCATGTATGTGTTACAAAACTCGCCACGACTGAAGGTATTTCATTTCTCTTTCCAACCATATTCGTGTTGAGATTGGGGAAAAGAGCAAGATTACAGACACTTACTGGAGTGTCGCCATTGAAAATATATGAAAGAAAGCGATCATTTAATTATCAACGTTCCAATGTATTAATTATCATAATTATCTGCTTATGCCAGTTATGTCTGTGTGAGATGTCAATGCATGAGAATTAGAATTAGCCCAAAGCACATATTCCAGCAGAGAGAAGTTCCCTGAAGATGGGCTCTAGCATGAGGCCAAAATCTCAGAAGACTAAATATCTCTTATCTTGGTAATCAACCCAGATTCAATCTTGCACATTCAAGCAACTTCAAACCCAACTGAGTTTTAAAAATAAGAAGTATCTTGAACTCAACCCCAAAATAAGCACAGCCATATTGGAATGAAATGGTGTACCTATGCAGCCCCGTGGCACAACAAAACCGCGCTCGACTAAAGCGCGCCCGATTAAA